GTAGTTCAACAGAGTCTTATAAAGTGCTGCAACAAAGGAAACTGGCTCACACAGAGCAAGCAAACTAAAACACTGCCCAAAAGCCACAACCGGCTGGCAACATATAGAGAGATAGGTAACCTAGGCACCTATCCTATTACATGACCGCCATCCAAACCGGTTGAAAATATCCCGCGCTACCATCTCCCACCGGACAGATCCAGTAACCAAACGCGCCCTGGCCTCTGTCAGAGTGAGTAATGACCAAGTACGGATTAGCGCAATAGCCCGGAATAGAACCTGCAAAAAATGAATAGTTGTTGTTCTATTAAAAGCCAAGTCATTTCTGCAGTTCCAAAATGCCCATAACAACGCACATGCTCCTACACGAATTTGTCTAGCTGTTTCGGCCTCTATACCCAGCAGCCACGTTCCAAACAACGACCTGACCGAATTCGGAGGAGTAATGTTAAAGGCAATCTGCACCGAGCACCACAACACCCTCGCCATCGGGCACTCAAAGAAAAGACGCTTGATGGTTTCATCCGGATCACAGAAACTACACCTAGTAGATCCTGTCCAGTTGCGTTTAATCAAGTTATCCTTCGTTAGAACGACTTGTTTATGCACAAACCACATAAACACTTTGATTTTTAGAGGAACCTTAACTTTCCAAACGTGTTTGGAACTAGGAATTACACTAGAGTTGATGACATCAATGTACATCGACTTGACTGTGAACGCACCAGATTTAGTAAGTTTCCAACACAACTGATCAGGCTGATGAGAAAGCTGAACCTCCATAAGTCTACTCACCAGATGAATCCAATCCTCCCACCGGTCACCCACCAGCACCCTCCTAAATCGGATGTTAAGAGGAACCGATTGCAGACTCGTTGCAATCAGAGCCTCACGTCGCTGCACAATTCGATAAAGTGCCGGGTACTAGAGTGCCAGTGATGCATCACCTAGCCAGGTATCTTCCCAGAAACGTGTGTTATTGCCATCCCCGACAACAAACTTTGTCCTGTTAAAGAAAGTAGCTTTAACCCTCATTAACCCCTTCCAGAAGGGCGAATCAGTGGGTCGAACCGTCACCTGCGACAAGGTTTTAGAGTGCAGATACTTGTTACGAAGAATCTGCGCCCAAGTTGCCTCAGTCTCGGCAGATAACTTATATAGCCACTTACTTAGAAGGCATCTGTTCTTAACTTCAAGATTCTCAACCCCAAGACCCCCTTGGTCTTTAGGTCGGCAAATGACATCCCATTTGGCTAGGCAATACTTTCTCTTAGTTTCATCGCTCTGCCAGAAGAAACGAGACCGGTAGAAGTCCAGCCTTTTCCTAACTCCAACTGGAACCTCAAAAAAGGATAATAGAAACATAGGCAAACTCGTGAGCACCGAATTAATAAGAATCAACCGGCCTCCATACGACATAAGTTTGCCCTTCCAGCAGCTCAGTTTCTTCTCAAACCTATCTTCAATACACTTCCAATCGCTGTTAGTTAACTTACGATGGTGAATGGGAATACCAAGGTAAGTAAACGGAAGAGTCCCCAGATCACAACCAAACAGTGGCTTGTAAGCATCTTGTTCATCTTTGGCTCTACCAAAACAGAACAACTCGCTTTTATTGAAGTTAATCTTCAGACCAGACAATTGCTCAAAAAGGCACAAAACCAGCTTCATATTTCTCGCCTTTACCAAGTCGTGCTCCATAAAAATGATAGTATCATCGGCGTACTGCAGAATTGACACACCACCATCTACAAGATGAGGCACCAAGCCACCTACTTGTCCTGCATCCTTTGCCCTTCCTATCAAGATTGCCAACATATCAACAACTATGTTGAAAAGGATAGGAGACATTGGATCACCTTGCCTCAAGCCCTTGTGGGTCTGGAAGTAATGCCCGATATCGTCATTCACTTTAATTCCAACACTCCCTTTTTGCGTGAAAGATTCAACTTGGTTCCTCCAAGCTTCGTCAAACCCCTTCATACGTAGGGCTTGTTGCAAAAAGGGCCATTTGACTTTATCGTACGCTTTCTCGAAATCCACCTTAAAAACCACTCCATCCAGTTTTTTCGTGTGAATTTCATGGAGCGTTTCATGCAGGACCACCACCCCTTCAAGAATGTTCCTATCCGGCATGAAAGCAGATTGAGTAGGCTGCACCACAGTATGCGCAATCTGTGTGAGCCTATTTGTCCCGACTTGAAACTCACATTAAGAAGACAGATTGGCCTGAATTGCTCAATCCGCACTGCCTCTGTCTTCTTAGGAAGAAGAGTTATCGTCCCAAAATTCAGCTTGAAAAGGTGAAGCTGACCAGCGAAGAGATCATTGAACAAAGGCAATAGATCTCCTTTAATAATGTGCCAACATTTCTTGTAAAACTCAGCCGGGAAACCATCCGGGTCAGGAGCCTTATTATTCTTCATCTGGGAAATGGCCTCAAATACCTCTTTCTCAGAGAAGGAGCAATTAAGATGCTACTGATACAATGCTGATGCTTGATCCTGCTTGTTTATAAAACTGCCAAATTGACAAATTATCGCTAATATTTCTTTTCTTTGTTAACTTGTTGTTTTGACTCACAGAGTGCTTTAGAATCTGGTGAACATCGAGTATCTTTTGTCTTCCTCCTATCCTCAACAAGTAGTAGTTTATGAGCAATCTTATGGTAATGGGTGTGTCTCCTTAGAGCAAAATTTCCAGAGCAACTCAAACGCGGTTATTCAAATTGATTTTGTCAGTACTAAATATCAATAAACTTAATTTTTTTTTCTGCTGCCCATCTTCTGGCCTCTGGCTCTATTTCTTCAGGAAAAAATCACTAAACTTTTCAGGCCTTTTGGAGCTCTTGAAAAATAAAAATACTTTTTCTGTTCTTTATTTGGACCATGTTTTCAGTTGTCTGGTGATTTACTAAGAATTTCCCTCTGCATGTGTTACATGCAGATTGAAGGGGGAAAGGCATTAGAATTGCGCATTAATGTGCAAAATATCATTGATAAAGAGTAAATTATAATGAGAAATAGTGATGAAAACGGATGTATCAGCTCCCCGAAGCTTAGACCTCACTTGTCCCCAAGCGAAAAGCCGAGCTTAGTAAACATGGTGCAATTTTATGAAATGTGGAGTCGATAGTAAATAATACCAAAATGACAGCATCACTATTTACTTTCCTGATCAAACATTCTAAAAGCAATCCCTCGTTATTCTTACATAGCTTCTGATGAGAAGGTCGTGATACTTTTAGATGCAAAACTTTAACCCATAAAAGTCTCTTGATCATTAATTTTAGAAACTGCCTGGGCACGAGGAGATGCATGCAAGGTTTGGATATGGCCAATAAGCACATAGTCATGTACACCTTGATTGTTGGGTTGATCCATATATCCCGTGCCAGAAAAGGCAAGTATGTGGGATGCGTGGCGCGCATTTGTGTACACACCAGTACAAGACGCCCTGGAAAGCAGATAAAAAACATGTAACAGACAAATCCTGCGTATGCATCAGGGAATTCTGTCGTAGCTAGCGCCCTTCCCCTCTCCCGGTGATAACTGATACAAAAGGCCTGGTTTTACGCAGTGGAAGATAAAGATCGGTCATGGCCGCGCATGCTGCATGCGCGCCTGCAGGAGCAATGTGACCCTGGCTGGAGTGAATTGCAAAAAAACACCACATTGAGCCTAGGTTTGCGAATTTGGGACAAAAACCACTGATTCTCAATGTAATCTTTTGCAAAAAAAACACTGATCGGTCGATTTGGGCATTTTAAACGTGATTATGACATGTGGGTCCCATATTTGATGACATGGCATAACGGTTCACGGTAAACTATGTAGACTGGTATTTTTTGCAAAGAACCCCGCCATCCAAAAACAAATCCCCTACCCCCACCCCGATCCAGATTGGATCGGTCATTGACGCAGGACTGTTTTGTCGGAGATGATTGCTTTTTGTTTTTTGATTGAAGGTTCTCTCCATAAAATTGCAGGGACTGTTTTGTAAATTTAGAAAAGCCCTCATCTAAATCGTATAACTGAACCTTTATGCCACATCATCAAATGCGGGACCCACATGTCATAATCACGGTTAAAATGACCAAATTGACTGATCAGTTTACAGTGTTTTCTGCAAACCTAAGCCTCAATGTGGTGGTTTTCTGCAATTCACTCCCCTGACTGTGTTTCACATCCATAGGTACCACAGCATTGAGAATTCTCCTTCCATGTATTGCTAGCAATTAATGGTGAACTATGGCTGGGTGTACCAATCAATCTAGGGGTCGTAGACTTACGAAACACACACGGTTTTTATTTGTAAACATGTGGTAGGGGCTATATAATATTTATAGGTCGCATCTAGATTAAACATCACAGAAAACAGCAGCAGTGCTATATATGCGCATCCAGCCGGCGAGACAAATGTGAGTGTTTGTTTGCCTTGCATCACAAAGCCAAACATACTAGAAACAGAAGCATGCATATGACATGTGGTAGGGGTAGCACGAAGAGCACATATGCATACGTTAAAAAGAATGAGAACAAAACCAAGTATGCAATCTGGCATGTCATGGCTTGGAGAGGTTCGAGAAACCTAGCTACTTGTCACCACAAGGGTGTGACACCTCCAACAGGACAAACAATGCATAGTTGTAAAGATGAGGAGGCTATCTATCTATCCATCCATAGCGAGTGACACTAGACAAAGAATTAAAAAAAGGCAAAAAAAATCTTGAGACTTCTCTGGCAAGCGCCTTGCCAGTACACGCATTTACAACTATTTAAGCGCCTCCATAGATATCCATAGCTCATTAAACTCATTCCATCATTACTTACATATTTATGGTTGCCCCCAATATTGCCACCACCCTAGAATCCATTGCACAAAAAGCCTCCATCATGACAGACCACCTTCAAGTTCAGCAACAGAAGTTGGAGCTTCCGCCGGGCTTTAGGTTTCACCCGACGGATGAGGAGATCATCAACTCCTATCTGGTTCCCAAGGTGCTCGATGAAGCCTTCATCGCTGCGGCGATTGAGGATGTGAACTTGAACAAGTACGAGCCATGGGAGCTACCAAAGAAAGCAAAGATGGGGGAGAAGGAGTGGTACTTTTACTCCCGAAAGGATCGCAAGTACCCCACTGGAATACGAACGAACAGGATGATGGGTGACGGCTATTGGAAGGCCACCGGAAAGGACAAGGAAATTTTCCACCCGCCACACACGCTCATCGGCATGAAGAAGACGCTCATCTTCTACAAGGGCAGGGCGCCTAGGGGGGAGAAGACCAATTGGATCATGCATGAGTATAGGCTTGAGAGCAACCAGCAGCTGACATCCAACCCGTCCACCGCAACCCGCACCGTCACCACCACTAACGCGGCTTCCAAGGTATATAATAAACTTATACTCTCTCTGTCCCCAAAAACTTGTCCCAAACTTGTCCCTCAAATGGAGTTAGTGCTAGATACATCCATTTGAGGGACAAGCTTTTTCGGATGGATGAAATAGTATACTAGTAGTCATGAATTATTAACATGCCAGTAGCTAGTTAGCCACCTTTTCTGAACAATCAGGGGGAAGAATCGCCACCTGAATATTACTCTTAAGTTGCCAATACACATGGCAAGAATTATTACAATGTTGCACCGATGCGTGAGGGGAGATAAAGCGACCTTGACATAGCGGCCTCATTTTGAGTAGGTTACTTGAACGTATGGGTAAAAAAAGAGAAACCAGTAATGTTCTTGCTAGTAGACCGAGGTGAGTAAATACCGCCATGGATTGTAGTAGCGTTTCATGAGTCTTAAATATTCTAAAGGATGGAAAAGTTGACCGAGGCCAAATGTTGGAGTCGAGACCTGGGGGAGTCACCGTGTCCCCATTTCGAGAGATTGGCACTTGGACATGGCCACCTAAATACCCAGGTTATGGAAGATATATGATGAACGTGAGCAGTGAATGACAAAGTGATCGGCATCTGCGAGAAAAAGCGTCACATCTGGGGCATGCTATTGATCTTTGTTTTTGAAAAGGATGCTACTGATTATAGTTGATTTGCACTTATTTAATTTATGTATGCTTGTAGGAACAGTGTGTGGTTTGCAGGATCTTCCAGAAGAGCACCGGACTGAAGAAGGTGGTGATGCCGTCATATGTCATGCCAATGTCCACCGGAGCAGAACATCGGCAGGGGTTCGCTAACTTAGATACATTGCCTCCTCTCATGGACTATGACATGTCGTCATCGCTAGCAAATCCAACGTTGTTTCCTGCAGCTTCTTCATACCAGTTGCACAACATCGGGGCTGGCTCATCGGTGATGTGCAGCATGGCGCTTCCTATGATGAATGGCCACTACATAGGGAACCGCCACCAGCAGATGATGGCAGACCCAACACCACCATTATCGTTCTACCAACAACATCAGCAAATGATGATGTATATGGGTGCGGATCAGGGTTTCATGGTCGGGGATGAGACTGGGTGTGGGCCGTCGTCGATGGTGTCACATGAGGATACTGTGCCCACGCAGAGCAACACCTACCAGGGCAACGTCACGGCAACAGTAGTTGGTAAGACCTCGTCGGTCAACATGGGTATGGATGACATGTGGAAATACTGCTGATCAGATGATCCAAGACTATATATGTGTGTGCGTGCATATATAAATTTATCATCCATCAGACAGTCGTTCGATATATGGCAACCCATATATTGGTTTGCACCGTATTTAATTTTTTGGTGTGACCGCTAGAGGGTTTACATGCATGCAAGCATGCCTCTCTTGTGCTAGTTTTTCCATTGTGTGTATGTGTATTGGCTTGTATATGAACTATCCGCCGTGGTTTACCTGGCGATATATGCATGTGGTTGAAAATACTGAGGCATACATGATGCATCTTTTAAACCTATATAAAATGAACTATTTTATTTAATTATAATTGTGTCCATTATAAGTTTTGGGTGTGCATTGTATATGGAGAAGAAGTTTGCGCGTGCAGCGACCAAGGGAGATTGCCATCTACCACATACTCTCTTTTAGATGTGTGCTAATAAACTGTTACTTACACTTTTAAATGTGCGTTTGTAATTTTACTTCTAATATGTTTGGGCGAATGTTTGTGGCGATGCCGAAGGGAGTGACATGCTCTACACCATCAGTTTGAGGCATGCAACAGATGATATAGGCCCGGTCTACTTGAAATGGTAGCTTGCATCTCACAATAAATTTGTCATGTTGTAGTATTTTCCAATCTTTTTCTATTTTTAGGTTGCTGACCCATAGGCCATTGTGTGTCCTAGTAATTGTATTCCCTATTTTATCCGGTTTGATGAAATATGGGTTGAGGCAAAATTGTGAGTTTATAGCAAAGATTTCAGCAAGTGTATCTTGCAAAAGTGGATAGTCAAGGAATGAAAATTAAATCCATGCGATAGTTTTACATGCTAACTCGGTGCATGTAAGTGATCATATATCATTGGTCTGGCAAAATATTTAAACGTCCAGTTGCCTTGATTGATGAGAGTAAGATTCCTCGGATGAATTGAAATGCCACTCATAGTCAAACTCGTACCAGCAAGATAATCACATAATCAGCAGGATTATATATAGCCTTCTTCAACAATAACGAAAAACAAATAAATAAATTGTACACTCTCTCTTAACACAAAACAACAGACTTTAACCGGTACAAATACACCATGATGCATCCAAAACGAGAAAAAATTAAGCTAGTCATAGAAGAGATTAGTCAGAAGCACAAGCTGACAGCAAGGTCATAAATAAATTATCTAAAAGCATATCCACATAAATTATCTAGTGACGTGACGGTAGCCTGTGCCACCACGGGATCTGCTTGAGGCATGCATTGCAAACCCCTATTTCGTACGTTAAGCGAGACAGGAGCGACCCCTCGCTCTGAAGGGAACGCCAGTTGGGCCGGCCGACCCACGCGGAAAACACCAGCCTGTTTTCTGTTTGGTTCTTTTTCCATACTGTTTTGTTTTCGTTGTTTGCTTTCTTTTTATATTTTCTTTATACTTTCAAATTATATATACATATATTACAAAAAACATTTTAAAAAATGTTGAACAAGTAGTTGACAATATTGAAAGACTATTTTTAAAATGTTGAACAAGTATTTGAACAATGTTGAACAAGTATTCAAGAAAAATGTTGAACAAGTATTTGAAAAAAAATTGATCATGTAAAAAATGTTGAAAAAATATTTGAAAAAGTTCAACAGGTATTTGAAAAATGTTGAAAAAGTATTTTAAAAAATGTTGACATGTATTCAAAATATATTGAACGAGTACGTAAAAAACGTTGAAATAAGTACTAAAATGCTGATCGAGCATTTAAAAATGTTGAGTAAGCGTTCGGACAATGTTGAACGTGTATACACAAAATGTGGATCACTTATAAAAAAGATGTTTTTGACATATACGAAAATGTAGAGTGAAAACCGAAAGCAACATAAAAAAAGAAAAAGAAAAAATGCAAAAAAAATATATGGAGAAATAGTCGTTGCATCGATTTCCACCCTATGAGGTCGCGCGCGCTTGAAAGAATGATGCGGTGCCTTGTGGACCCTTGCGGTTGCTATGCGTGTGCTGGTGGAAATCATTCTCTAGTTTGTGGCTCTCAGATATTAGCTCTATATGCTGCATACAGTTAAACATCTTCAAAGATTTGCAATAACTCTTGGCATACCTATGTTTTTCAAGTCACGTATGTTATTACTCTGTTGATGGCAGTTTACAAATACCGATTGGACCAAATTATGCGCATTTAACTTAGTTTCTGCTTGAAACACCACATATATAATTGGCTACCGCTTCATCTCTAAATTTGAAATACACCCGGCGATAATAATTCCACGCAATTGGACTTGAATCCCGTGTATTACAAATGCGCTCATATCCATGATAAAAACTGCAAATGGCCGCCGATTAGTACAACTGCCACTGATTTGAGATTCACGCCCTTTTTACGTTAGCTACTCTAGGAAGTAGGTGTCTGAAATCTTGATACTGCCCAAATTTATCTTTTTTTCACTGCATTTCTACAATCGTATATAATATCTTGACACTGAATTAGTGATTCCTTGAGCCAATCAGAATGCCACAGGCCTCTGCTGTTGCACCCTACCTGTTTGAATGGGAGAGAGCTCCATCAGTTGTTCCCTTCTGTGTGGAGCCATGAGATAATCAAATTATTAAGAAAACTCAAATATATATATATATATATATATATATATATAGCGTGTCAGTCTTGTGACAAAAATGGCGGCAGAGTATAGTGAAAGTAAATCAACCCTGATTGTACTTACAAACTCAATTGCTCAATGATATCTAACTCTAAATGTCTAATAAAAGGTACAGTACTACATATATACGTAGTGCATTTTAAAAATGATGCATACGTACGCGTAATTGTACTCCCTCCGTTCCAAAATGGATGACCCAACTTTGTTCTAAGTTCGTACAAAGTTGGTTCATCTATTTTGAAATGGAGGGAGTACTTCCTAATTTTTTAATCACTAGATCGATCCATAAGGCAGTCACATGTTTTTTGAAACTCCGGCCTCTTTATTAGATCAAATAACCATTACATCATCCACTAGCCACCTTATAATAGATGCCGGTGGTTCCTCGACCCACAGCGAGGGTGGGTTGGACACCGCCAGCCTAGCTAGCTCATGAGAGACACAGTTTGCCTCCCTAGGGCAATGGACGAAAGACACCGAAGTATAACCTACTATCAATTAATTGCAATCTACATACACTGCCGCCGCTCCTGTCGCCGTGAATCCACCCATGTTCATCGTGTTGATTACTTCCAGGCAATCCGCCTCCACCACCAGCTTGTTCACGCCCACCTGTTGCGCCAGTAGGAGCCCATGTCTCAAAGCATATGCTTCTGCTGTTGCCGCGTCCACCACATGCTCAAGTTTTTCATTGGACGCCGCTATGAATCCCCCTCTGTCATCCCTCAGCACTGCCCCGACCGCTCCACTGAGAGTTTCTACATGGAATGTTGCGTCAACATTGAGCTTAACACATCCCTCCATAGGCTTGATCCATCGTTCCTTCTTCACCCCAGTCTCCTTCTTCCTTGCATGCGTGTAATTTGCAGCTAGGGCAGAAATTGACAAAGCCAACCGAGCTGGCGATTGGACCTCTTCTCCATGAACTAGTTGCCCTCTCTCCCACCAAATATACCATATCCCAACGAGGATTAATGTTTGTGCACTCACCTCTGGAAGCAGGCTTCCTCTCGTTGGCATACATAAAATATGGTCCAAAACTGATGAACCAGCTATGTCTACATTACTTGCCTACTCCACAAATCCATCTAGTTTTAGACACCTCCATATTTCCGACGCTCTTGGCAAGTAAATAATGCATGCTTGATATCCTCACAGCCTCCTGCACATATAGGACAGTTCCTAGGCATAGCAATATGTCAGTTTGCCAGGACTCCAAAACATGGTACGAACCCATGCAACACTTTCCATGCGTGGATCTTGATCTTTCCCGGCAATGAGGACTCCCACAGCTTCGCCCATACTGGATAGCGCTGTGATTGTTGGCCTTCCGTTCTCGCAAACCATCGTCCAAACTGGTGCTCCCACTCAGCATGGTACGTCGACCGGACTGTGAACATGTTATTCTTTGTAAATCTCCAAGCCACAAAGTCCTCCATCATACTCTGCGGCGTGAGCGGGATCGCCAGAATTCTCTCCGCATCAACCTGCCAAAACGTATCCATCACAAGCTCTTGATCCCATACTCCTATTACCGGATCGATCAGGTCGGCCACCTTTGACAGCAGATTTGCTCCTCTCGGGGTCACTACGCGCCCGTCCGCGCTCCCAGCGATCCACGGGTCAGACCAAATATTAACCTGAGACCCGTCTCCGATCCTCCAAATGGCACCTCTTTTGAAGGTGTTAATCCCTGCACAAATGCTCTGCCACGTGAAAGAACACCCACTCTTCATCTTTGCTTCTAATAGTTTCCCATCCGGATAGTACTTTGCTCTTAAAACTTGTGCACACAACAATTCCGGGTTCTCCAACAGTCTCCATACCTACATGGCCAGCAAGGCAAGATTGAAACTATGTAGATCTCTGAACCCCAGCCCATCTTTGCTCTTCGGTATGCAGAGTTTCCACCACGCCACCCAGTGAATTCTCTTATGGTTGTCATCATCACCCCACCAGTACCTTGATATGGCATCCGTCATCCCTTTGCAAACTTTTTTCGGGATATTAAACACCGACATCGCGAAAACTAGCATGGCTTGAGCAACAGCCTTAATGAGTATATCTTTCCCTCCCGTGGATAAAAGCTTCTCCTTCCAACCGCTCACTAGCTGGTTAATCCGTTCTATTAGATATTCGAACGCTTCACTCCTGTCCGCTCCCACCATTGCTGGTAATCCCAAGTACCAATCATTCATGGCTTCCGTAAAAATGCGCAACTTCTGACATATTATCACCTTCTCTTGCACTGGCGTGTTCGAGCTAAAAAACACGCTGGACTTCACGTCACTCACTAGTTGCCCTGAGCTCTGACAGTATGCATCCAAAATCTCCCTTAGACATGCTGCATTAGCCG